GTTTTAAAATATCTAAAAATAAATTTTAAAGAGGTTATTAGATTCTCGCTGTGCACGGGCATCGTAAGGTCTACAAAACTAAATAGAACGAGGTCCCAGCACCAGGACTTGTCAGTCCCAGAAAATCAAGATTAATGAAGGCTCAGGTTGAGTTTGGAAAACTTGGGAGTTTGGCTCTGATTCTCACGATGTTAGAGCTGGACGTCTTTCAAGATCACCTCCCCCAAAACCTCGTTTTATAGAGGTATAACTGAGTCCCAGGGGAGTCGGGTGCCTTGCTTGAGGTCGCTCAGGGTTCTTTCTTCGCAGTTTTGTCAGATGGTGCTGTTTTCCACCATAACCTGCTCCTTCTGAGAAGTATGCCAAACAAACAGAGAAAGCTCCAGACCTGATTAAATGTGATAATATCGATAGGAATTTTCTGAAATTATATATCTATATCTATATCTATATCTATCTATCTATCTATATATATATAGTTTTGGTTTTTTTTACAGCTAGACTTTGGGCTCCTTGAGGATATTCAGTTTTGTACTTTTGAATATACTCTCACCATATTCAGCATAAAATAACACTCTAGATGACTATCCTCAGCAGGATAGGTAGGCATATTGCATTTATTTTTCTTCCTTTTAAGTAGGGAAGTAAAGAGTCACAGAGGATTCTGAATACAAGTGTGTTTTCAGAAAAATCCACGTAGGCTGACACTCGAGTGTGACCTGGAATGTGACGAGGGCATGTACCTGGCAGGAGGGTTCTTTGACATGTGTATTAGGCTTGAGCATTGATTACTTGCAGATATCACAGCTATTTGAGGCTGGAGATTTCAGCGGAGTCTCTTTAGCCAGAGTACTTGGCATCTCTGCCATTTTGAAGACAGGTCCCTGAAATTGTAGTGGACACAGTTAGGAAAAAGGAATTGACAAAAGTTTCCTTTGAAGCTGGCTTTTGAGGAGTATTCCATAATTTGAGATAAAATAGTTTTTTTTTTCCCCTTTTATTTTCGTGTTTCCCCAGAGCTAATATCTTAACATGTTACCATTTCATTTGCCTGCTGCTAGAAGTTGTTCAAGAGAAAATGATTCAAGCACTCATTCTATCGGTTATTCGAATAATTGAAACCTAACTTTTCATTGTTGGAAATGACTCAGATCCTCTAACCCAATGCGGGGGCCCAGTGATGCTGATAAGGGGAATGGAGTCCTCCATCCTCAGACCAGTGCTGTTTACCTCATTCCACTGGGGCTTTCTTTGCCTTTTCTTATTACCTCCCCTTGTATAATTATCAGCTTTTGATTTTTGTGTGCATAGAGTTATGATCTACTGTGGTCCCTTTCTACCTTTGGAATGGAATATGATGTGTCAGTGCAGATTTAATTTTTTTCTGTATCATGGTTATTTATCACATGTTTATGTTTTGCAGGAGTGAGAGGATTGCTGTTGTACTACAATCATGGTGCAAAAATACCAGTCACCAGTGAGGGTGTATAAACACCCCTTTGAATTAGTTATGGCTGTAAGTACTTCACATTTCAATTTACTATTTGGCTTCTTATTTTTAAGTATTAGAATTTGATGATCTGTAAACTTAGTGTTTATTGTTTGTCTACATTGCTTCAATTTTACATATTCTGTTTTTATCCTTATGAACTGTATCTAGAGTCTGTAAAATGATTTTAAAATACAAGCCTTTGAAAATCAAAATCTGCGTGTTTTTAAAAAATGCACATCAGGGTAATGTGTGAATTTGAGTTAATTCTCCCTTTGAAAACTCAGAAGTGGGATTCTGACTAAATACTTCTTCCTGTGGATGTTGCTCTTTTTTTAAGTAGGAAAGGGATGTGGAGTGTGGTTTCTTCTTTCTGCTACTGCTTTGGAAGAGTGCTCTGGTTATGGGTGAATTCACTTTAGGTAGACTTAGAACTGAGCACTAGAGGATGGAGTTTTGCTTCCGTTATTTATTCAAATTACTCCATTGAATGAGTTTTTCCCCCAATATCAAATCCAAGAGTCAAATTAGAATTCCACGAAGGGGGTAAATAAAGTCTTAATAATTTGTTATTTACCTGAAGAGTTTGGCTTCAAGGAAAATAAGCATTTCACTACATGTGAAACAAAACAAATCTTTTCCATTCACCTTTTTTTTTTTTTAAAGGTGACCGGTAAGGGGATCTTAACCCTTGACTTGGTTTTCTCAGCACCACACTCTCCCAAGTGAGCTAACCAGCCATCCCTATGTAGGGATCTGAACCCATGGCCTTGGCATTATCAGCACCACACTTCCATTCACTTTTAAATAACTATAGAGTATTCCTTCTCTTTCTTTCTTTTTTATGTTATTATTAAGGTATACAAACAGGAAAATTCTGTATGTGCAAGAAAATGCATCTATCATGAACATACACCCTAATGAACATATGTCAAACTGAACACACCTGTGTTACTGGCACCAAGCTCAGGAACCAGAACGTAAGTGGCCCAGTAAGAAGTCTCGCTCGGCTCCTTTTGGTCCCCACTCTGCAACCCTCTCAAAGTTAGCCACCATCTTGGCTTATAACATCATAGGTGACTTTTCTTTTTTTTTTTTCTTTTTTTTTTTTTGCAGCTGGCCAGTATAGGGATGGAACCCTGGACCTTAGTGTATGACCACCACGCACTAACCAACCGAGCAACTGGCCAGCCCCCGTTAGGTGACTGTTACCTGTTTCTGTTCTTTGTATAAATAAAAACTCAGGTGTTTTTGCATCTGGCTGCCTCTGCTCAGCATTTTGTTTCTGAGATTTATCTAGATCAATACAGTTTTGAAAAAC